TTCCTAGACGGAAATTCCGTCTAGGATGGTTCCTAGACGGAAATTTGTCTAGGATTTTTCCTAGACTGAAATTCCGTCTAGGATTCTTTACTTCATCCTAGATGGAAATTCTACCCGAGATGTATCCTAGACTAATTTTCAATTCAGATTTTTACATACAATTTCCCAATTCATACGTTTTTACTCTGTAATTACATAAATTACCTACAAATTCAATAATAATCCGAATCCAACCAAATATCAAATCCAGCTTTCAAATTAACAATCCAAAATCCAAATCCACATCCAAATAACTATACACATTCCAATACACATACTATATTACTCAAATTACTGCGATACAAGCCAACCAATATACACAACCCAAGATTAATCGTAAACGAATAAACTATCCGCAAAACAACTTATAATCATCTACACAATATACAAATATCAAAAATCATGTTGTTTCATACATATCATGTCTCTCTCTTACATATATAATTATCCATCCAATACATAATAAACTCATAGGTCTAATGCACGAGATGTGTGCATGATCCTGTCCACCTGTGGATAAAATTCCAAGAATATAAATAATTGTTGATATAAATATAAATTTCATAGACTAAATTAGAAAGAAAAGATCAAGAAAACGGTACATTAGGAGGAGGTATTAATTATGTATTATATTCATGTATTATACATACAGTGCATGAACCAATATGGTTACATCAATAACTAATACTCAAAGAAATTGTCATACATCAAGAAATCATCATCATCCAAACAAATACATGGAAACAAATACATGGAAACAAATACATTGAACATTAGAGATTTAAGTATAAGCTAAAATGGACACAATAACACTTTGTCAACTCTTCTCTGGAGAATACATCCAACAACATGGAAGTTAAAACATGAGGTGCTAAAAAATAAATTACCCTAATTGAAGTACCTCTCTATTTTCTTGAAGAAATTAGGAGTAATAATAACCACCTGAAAAGAGAAATAGGCAGCTAAGCCCAGGTTATGCAACTTTCAAGTGCTTTTAGTTCCAATATCTTTCTCCCCTCCTGATTTTCATAATCCCAGCAACACTAGGCAGCTAACCTAAGGCTCATGTACATTAGGAAAATAACTCCATTTAAACCTCATAGGATAGTTCAAGTGAAAAATAATCAATAAAATAACTTGTACATATCATTGTTTGTTCGGGGGCACATTCGCTAATAGAGACATCACTGAATCCAAGTCTCAAGACATCTAAAATAAAGATCAAGATCCTTAAATTGAGTCCATAAGCAAACATGACGTTATCAAGTAAAAATGGTATCACAACGCTCTGAAAATCTACATGTAGCAATCAATGTAAGTCACTAAGTAAGAAACCACTGAGTCTATACACTGTTGAATAGAAAAAAACAGTCTTCAGTGGATGAATGTAGTCTTGTTCAAATTCGGAGATGAGAAGAGTGGAGGGTGTAGGAGGTTAAATCTGTGGCATGGAGTAAGGAAGAGAATATTGAAAATTTCAAAACTAATATCTATCTTGTGAGGATACAATTGCGTGGCTTGAGAATAAATCTGTGGCATAAAAAGCAAATTAATAAGATTGCAAGCCTTATTGATAAACCAATCACTACTGATAAACTCACTGCCACTAAGAAGATATTAGCATATGCAAGGGTTTTAGTTGAAGTCTTTATGCCTGCAAAGTTATTTGACACTGTCACAATTCAAGGCCCTAATGGAAAACTCTTTGTTCAAAGGGTAGTATTTGAATTGAAGCCTAGATTGTGTGATCAATGCAAGAAATTAGGGCATGATAATAACACTTGTAGAAGTAAACCAGCTATGTTATGGATTATTAAGCAAAAGAATCCAGTTTCTTCACAATCTGATAATAGTGTAGAGGAGGTTCAAGGCAATACTAGCAATGATCAACAATGGACTGAAGTATTAAACTTTGCCAGGGGTAAAGAGGTCAGTCAAGTTGATCATCTTGCTATCTCACAAACTAATCTCAATTCAATTCTCTATCTTTTCATGAGAATGCTAGTAAGGATACAAATGTGCAACAGTATATTACACCTCCCGTTGATAGAGGTGGACCCTCAACCACATGAATGTTGCTACTTGGAATGTGAGAGGTTTTAATAAACCTCTCAAGCAATAGCTTTTTAAGTCCTTTAATTTTCAATATAAATCGTCTTGTATTGCTATCGTAGAGACTAGAGTTTATATGAAAACTTTTTTTCATGTAACCAGCTGATAATCCATGCTAGTCCCTCACCAGCTCCTAAGTTTCAAATGTTAATGAGAAATCCATAAAAATGTTCTTATGAATAAAAGCCTGCAATTTCTTTATCAAAAAAAGGAAAAAAACCCATGCAATTTCTAGGAAAACAAGCAATTAAAAGCTGTAACCACGAGATTCCCATGTCTATGCATTCCAAATGCGTGTAGCATCTAATTTCTTCTCCATATGACTAAGATTGGATCTTTCTACACTCTAGATACCAAATCCTTGTGTATGCATATGTATAAATACAAATCACTAACTTACCACAGAAAATCACGAGTCATCATCGTCGCCAATATCCTTCCTTTGCACGGTGCTATTGCTCCCTCCAGCAAGTCCAGCCTGAAAATAAATAGATTTAATTTTAGAGTATGAAATTTAACAATAAAACACACACATATATTATCAACATACCTATGAACTAGTGTCTAAATCTACAAGGGACAAAACTTCTCAAACAATTCAGTTGGAATCTTATCGGACAAGCATAATACGATGTACGTAAAAACTTTTTCGCTAGTGGGGGCTGCTGGCAAATCTGAAAACATAGCCTTCATCAGTTGCATTAGTAATGCAGGGTCTATCTTACCACATAGATAACATTAGACATGCAGAATTGTAGAAGTGGTAGGAATCATTGTTGAGGATCCTGTCATAGTCGAAGATGGTGAGGACGTCGTGGAGGATATTTTAGAGGTGCCCCGCATAGCTCCAACCCCCATCAATGAAAATCTGCCCCTATTATTATACCCCATAACATTCATAGCAATGGCGTCATTTTCCTTTATAAACAGGATATGAGGGTTATCAGCTTCTTCTTGAGTAGCATGTAGTGCTGCCTCCTTTGACGCAACATCAATACTATCCTAAATCACATAAGGAAAAAAACATATATATTTGATTGGCAAATAATTTAATGAACATCAACAGAATACTTATTATCTAATGATTTATTGAAAATTTTTGCCACCAATAACATATTTTCCTTAATCTTGACTTCATCTTTATAAGTCGAGCGAAAGGTGCCGTAAGCTAACTTTGCCTTCAAATTGACCGACATTATCAACTTCCCCTACAAATTATAATAAATTAAAAGAGTTGGGCCATATTGATAAATGTAGCATGCGAATACAAAACTTTAAATATTATACCATGTCTCGACAAAAGCCATACTCAAGATTGGCAAACAATGTCGATCCCAAGTGGTGGTCAAGCTTGCGCTTGCTATGTCGATTCGTCGATCCCTTCTTTGATTTATTCTACGAAAAGGTTAATTACTAAAGATGAAATGCATTTATAATCTTTGTTTGTAAGCAAAATTAAAATGATGAATACCTGTGCTGACTCAGTATCCCAATATAAAAGAAGAACCGTGAAATGATCGATGTCCATCCTATCATCGACATTTAAAAACCTCTGCGAATCTACTGTATATTTATCATATGTTGAGCTTTTCAGCTCATACCGCCACTGTTTGAGCATAGACTTAACCTTTATATTGAAAACATAGTGCCATGCTCCAGGGTAATCCTCAAGGCAACATTATTCCTATAATTTTGCAAACTAATCAAAAGAAGCTTATCTTTCACTTTATATCCCATGCTCTCCTGATAATTTAATTAATGCACAAACATTCTAATAGTTTGATATAGTTGCTTAATCTAGGTTCTTGGAAGCCAATCCTTTCATAAAGTATAAGACATGATCAAGGTTATTGGACCTTGTAACATCACTTGCTTATTCTTATTATTATTATTATTATTTGGTGTTGAGTACTTGGTCCACCATGTTTGTCACTAACCAATTGTGGAATTATGATGATTTTTCTATCGTGTGAAAAGTCTATAGATGGATTCAGAGGGAGTTTATTGCAAAGGATGTAAAGCTTTAAGAATTCAAGTAATGTTTATTTTATAGTGAAGAATGAAATACTAGTAATGTCAGTGTCTTTTTTTAAAACCCAAAATTGAGATGAGGTACTAGTACAAGTTGGTCAACATTTTTTTTGCAACATGCATCTGTTTGTTGTTATATGTCAGCCCTTTTATGATCACACATTTTTTTATTGTTTTTTTGTTAAACAGAGAGCTATTGATCTCTCTTGATCATTTCCTTAATTGATTATATCACTAATACAAAGAAGCTCTGCCCCAACGGTTGTAACCGTTGGGGCAAGTAGTATCCCCAACGGTTACGACCGTTGGGGCAGAAAATCCACCCGTTACGGCAACTAACGTTGGTAATATATATATTTTTGTGGGAAATGAATTTTATGTAAACATGGCAAGCAAGAGGTATTAATGAAACTGAAAAAAAAATGAAAAAGACTAGCACCAACGGTTACAACCGTTGGTGCAAGTATCAGCACCAACGGTTGTAACCGTTGGTGCTGATACTTGCACCAACGGTTGTAACCGTTGGTGCTAGTCTTTTTCATTTTTTTTTCAGTTTCATTAATACCTCTTGCTTGCCATGTTTACATAAAATTCATTTCCCACAAAAATATATATATTATATCTGTTCACATCCATAAAGAGTTCAGGTAATCTCAAACAGTCAAACTGTCACAGTATTTTTTTTCTCAACAAAAATATATGTTTAGCAATAACATAATACGTTCAGTTACATACATTCAAAACTATTTCCATATCTAACGGACACATAACATCCAACTGAGACATGCTCTGTTGATGAAAGGGGAGAGATTACTATTTGATTATACAAAATTATAGATAAACATCTTTGCATTTGACATGAGCAAAGTATCCCTTCCAACATTTAAAAGCTCCTTGCACTTATCTCACATAACACACACCGCTTGAAAATTAGGGAATATGAGCTACATCATGAGTTCAGTCCCATAAAAGTCGACGACTGGGCTTATTTAACCTCAAGAAGCATCTCAGCCTAGAGTGATATCAGTGCAGAGCATGGCAATCTTCAATACCGCTAGCATTTGCTTCCTCCAAGAAAATGAGACAGTGCTCAGCCTTGTGTCCATTATCTGCTCAGGACTTTCGCCTCTCTTTGATGCACTATGTACCCACTTCACTAGATCAATCCCTTCACCAAATTGCTCATCAACAGGTAATCTGCTAGTTAAGAGCTCTAACAGTACAACTCCATAGCTATAAACATTTCCTGGAGCAGTCACTTGCATTGTGTATGCGTATTCTGATAATGAAACAATACACATAAACATCATAATGTTGTATCATCTAATTATCCTAAATAGAGTTACAAAAGAAAGATAGGGTAAATTGCATTTACTCTTCCAAAATTGAAAGCTTTTCCTCTACACATTTCTCCTCAAGTCCACAAAAATGCTCCTATAACCAGCATTAGGCACCTGCAAGTATACAAACAAGCTCCTATAACCAGCAATAGCCATCAAAGCATACAAGAAAATGTGTCTCACCTACACGCAAGCCATCAAAGTATACAAACAAGATCCTATAACCAGCATTAGCCATCAAAGTATACAAACAAGCTGGATATATGGTTGAATTAAACACGATATCATCATAACCGCAAATCCATACGTGACCAATCACCATAACCGCAAATCCATAAAAAACGACCAACAGACAAGTTCCCAAGAACCATTTAGGAAAATAGTATGCAAACCTCTCTACACAAAGCAGTTGAAACTTGTTTTATAATCTAATAGACAAAAATCAGCTGATATAGACAAGACAAGCTGATACGGGGGGTTCTACAAAGTTCCAATACACATGTCCGACAAGTTCCCAACACAACCCAATTTCATGACAGAAGTATTCTCGCTACATAGCTTATACTGGATTAAATTGCCCTATGATTTGGCTATCAGACATGATGGTATATAAAATAAGAAATGACAAAATGTGCAATAGTTCCAGTATATTCCGTAACTTGATGATAAAAGAGAGTACACTAGGAATACAGACATGAAGTGTTAAATGACAAGGATAGCCAGTTCATGCCACATCTGAAAAGTATCTTAGAATTATAGTTTTATTTAGAAAAATGATAAAACTAATAAGTAAACAACATGAGAATGTTTTTAAATTGTAGGAAACAAACCAATACATAATCAATATGTTCGTCAAGCTGAGAAGAACATCGAGTAAACCTTTAGATTGCCTTACACTGTATGATTCTTCCAGCACAGGATGGACAATCAACTCAGGGCTGTAGCCTTTTATCACCGGTGAAGCATCTTTTGTACAGAAAACATGTGATAAATCTGCACCCTGTGCAAGAAAGGCAGAATTCTTAAAATTCAACATAGACCAAGATATGAATATCTTTTAAGTATGAACGTACTAAAACAAACATGGAGAATAATGAAATGTAACAGAAGAGGCATTACTAACAATTTTTAGGGCGGATATAGCAGCGAAATATGGTGCACTAGTATATTCACGACATCCACCAATAACTGCTATCTTTCCTGAATAAAATTCAAAAATATGAAAAAGCAGTTAACTTTCATTTGATGAAACATAACAATTGCAATAATTGTTTTTATGGAAATGGTTGGAGAGATGGACTACAAGGACGATTCGGGCAACCGCACAAGTTTTTTTCCATATCCAATGTCGATTCTTGTAATGCTCAGTATATAGGTTTTAGGTAGTGAAACCTACAAAGAAATAAAATAACAAATAAAAGAAACCTGTAACCAATTGCTTTCTGAAAATGTGTTTTGGACAAAAATAAAAGGAGAAGAAGATGTATGCTTCTTATGTATAAATGAAAGGATAATTTCCTGATATCATCACATCATTGGACTTTGTAGTATCTTCAGAATTAGTAGATATATGAATATTTCACATCCTTAACAGTTTCAACTTTCAAGCAAAAGAATTCATGAATGTAGTAAATCTAATAAGAGAATGAATATATTTAAGCGTAGTATATTCATGAAGATAAACATAATAAGAGAATGAGCCGCCTTTTTCTTCTTTTATTGAAATCTTTACCACCCATCACTTACAAGATATGCATGGAAAGTTTCACACATAAGAAACCATCTGTATTTAAAGAAGTTCTTATCAAGATATTTTTCTTCATTAAAAAGAGGATGGCACAAAGATTTTATATACCCGGTCACTTGTAAACCATGCCTTTCTTCTTCACACAACTTTTCATGGGTTCATATAACATTGGACCAATTAGACAGCAGAAAATGAGAATGTAGAACATTAACTTCACCAAGAAATGTGAGGTGATATAGCGCAGAAGTTAGTTGAGTACAGCAAGTAACCTCAAATACAACCTAATAAGGTGCAAGCTTTTTTCATCGGAACAACGTGTACCAATTATGAAAACCAATTAAACAAAGAACAAACACAGTTAATTCAATTTCCCAACTATAATATCACTGATTTTCACGCATTTGACTCAATTGAGCAACTAAAAAAAATACCATCCTACAGGATAATTGGAAGGAATAAGAGGAAGAAACCCACACAATCCACGGGAGGCAATGGATTGTCAAAAAAGCAGGTCTGTATATAATTCCAACTTCAAAGCAATTGAGTAAAGAAAAAGGAAAGCAATCAAATGTGCACCACAAAATATCAGTCTTTCAAGATTCATAGCATGAAGGAGATGAAGAGGGCCATAAATTCATTAAGTATCCAGAAGGGGAACTTTTTATAATAGCAGACAAAGATCGAAGCTGAAGCAACAAAACTCAAACCCATTCCCGTTGCTTTCTCAAAAATCATAATTCACAGAAGAGGTAAAAAGAAAGGAAATGTAGCAGCTGAGTAAACTAGGGCTTTTAGAGTATGTTTTTGAAGGAAAGGGGGGATTAGAGTTAGGGTTTTCACCGAAGAGGAGGGAGCGACAGAACTTCCAGCGGTGGCAACAGCAACGTCCAATCGAGAGGTCGACGACGACGACGACGACGACGACGACTACGACGACGAGAGGAACTCAAATCAGAGGAGGAGCTCGAATCAGGGAAGAGAGCTCCGATAATGATTAACTAGGGCTTTTAGGGAGAGAATAAGCAGCGAGAGAGCACCGACGCCGACGACGACGACGCCGAGAGGAGGGCGGTGTTGGCTTTGGCGAGAGGGAGGGAGGCAGAGAGGGAGAGAGATCGAATTTTGTTAATTTGGGGTAAAGCAAAATTTGGGGGTGTGGGGCGGGTTCCCTCCATTTTTTGGGAAAAACACGAATTGCGCCAACGGGAGAAACCGTTGGTGCTAAGAAAATTAGCCCCAACGGTTCCTACCACCCGTTGGGGCTGCACCTGTTTGTACTAGTGATAGTTGTATGTTTGGCCTTTTTTTGGCTAATTATGTAAGGCAGCACTTGTTAATTAATTGGGTAAATTACACTTAACTCCCAAGATTCAGCGTATTGTAGTAAACTCCAAATAACTTTTAAAATCGCTTCATTAATATCCTCTAATATTTTCCATTCCACTGAGGCTCTTAATATGCAAGAGCTCCAACATAAATGAAAATTTAGAGTACTTGGTGTAACCCTCATACAGATCCTTTTCACTATCCTCTAATAGCTTCATTATTCGATCCAAGTCCTCAGAAACATGAGCATCTTCAAAACCTTCTGGGCCATCAACATCTTCAATTTCAGTTACATCTTGGACATCATCTGTGATATCATCTTCACTATCTTTGTTAATATCATATTCAGTATGGTCAGGTCCAATATCAGTTTGTAAATTTACTGTATAATCTATCCTGAAACCATGACTGGTATCGGTAAGCACATCCGGTACTTCATCTTCAATACAGCCTCCCCGTGATAGGACCAATATTTATATTCCTCATAAAACCCAGAGTTTGTTAAGTGACTTCGTATTTCCTCTCTATTTTTCTGGTTCATATTCTTACACCTATAACAGGGGTAGTACATTGTACCGCTACTTAAATTATTTGGGTTCATTTCGACATACTTCATGAAGGCTTCACATCTATCCTTATAGCGTCAATCGTGATATCGTTCGATCCTAGGAATATCTATCCATGACTTATTAGTAATTATTCTCATCTATAGATAATATATAATTAGAAACTCTATTTGGTAATAGATAATGTACTAATAAAATTTAAACTATTCAAAACGGTATACATACATACACACATCATCCTTAAACATGATGCAAACGTACTTGTCAATATCTTTTTTGTTAGGGTTAATTTCACATAATCATCTTAAACTTTGGGTGCTGCATATCACATACTCCCTGTTAGGTCTTGTTGATGCTCGTGAACAAACAGTCGATGGAGATTTCCCACAGTCGGATGTAGTCTCGATCCTGGCGACGGAGGGGAAGAAGGAGAGGATGAATGTTGGGGCCGACTCCTCCTCTGACTTTATGCCCGATTCTGAGCACGCGGGGTGGACTGATAGCCTATACATGCAAGAATCGCAGGAATACGAGGCTAGTTTCCCCCGTGGTACCTCCGACAGTCAAGTTAATTGGTAAACTTGAGGAGGGTTTTTTGAGAGGTCCCTGGGCCATTGAGATTCTTGCAGGGGGTTTCTCCCTAAGATTTATTAAATGTTCTTTATGTAAAAAGAAGATCCCAATGGAGAGTAAAGCTCAGGTGTAAGAAGAAGCAGAGAGCAGCCTCCCCGCCCTTACCCTCCTTACCTCCTTTTTATAGTCCATAGCCTCTGAGATTTTGGCTTTTCTTTTTCACAGGAGGGCGGATGCTGGGCGGGCAGATAGACTGCTGAGTCATCCTCCTTCTTCCAGATATCGGCTGGCGATTGGAAGGGAATTCATTCAGGTATAGGAGAGACATGTCTTCTTAGTACTCTGGATTTGCCAGAAGAGGTAGGGCGTAGGATAGGTCGGCTGCTTAATCATCCTTCTTTCTCCAGATGGCGGCTGGTAATTGGAGGAGAAGTCATTCGTGTACAAGAAAGCATCATGGCAATCTTCTACGAAATGACTTGTAAGCAAAATAAGCGGCTTGGGCACGAGGTTTGTCAGAATGGAGATCTTGATGGGTCTGATCAATACCGTTGTGTCGATTGACATCTGAAGTGAACTTGGTCGGCTCTTATCCCTTTAGCCGAGGCGGGTTGACCTGCGAGCCATCATTATAATTTGGCGACCCAATAGTCGAGTGAGCTTCGGGTCGGGTATATAGTTGAGTCGTCTGCTCGAGGAGTCATCTTATTTACGAGAGGGTGACTGATCCCGTACTTTGAGTCAGCCATAATGATCCTTGACCGAAATATGGCTTGTCTGCTCATCCGGTGGAGGGACTTGGCCTTTATTGGGCTTTTGTGCCTCTAAGTTGGTTTGGACAATGGCTCCATTGGGCTTATGTAGACATTCTCACGACATTTCTATCTTTGGATCGTAAATTACCATAATAGTTGGCTCCTTTCATTCGAAGTTGACTTTAGTCGAGTCTGAGTGAAATAGATACAAGCTTGCTCCATATCTTGGGGATTTCTTGGCTATTTGATAGTGGTTGGAGACGTGGCGTAGATCTCACTAACCACCAATCTCCCTGAGCTGATGATCGGTATCAGGAACTGCTTTTTCGAA